ATTATAAACATAAATAAAGAACAAAAAAGAGAGTCTGTGCAATTGCATAAAGACTAAAATATAGCCTATCAACTTTCTTTCTATCAACAAGAGTTTCTCGGTGGAGCATTACAACATTTCCTGGAGCTCTTAAAAAAATAAAAATTTTCCTTATATCATAGGGAACCGAAATTCTGGCCCTACTAATTAGATTAAAGGAGATGTTAGATATGTAGATACATATGAATTCCCCATTAAAGGAAGATTTACATACATACAACGCAATGGGTGTGACTTAACATTGAGCAACAATAAGTTCAACCCTAACTAAACTAAAAATGAAATGCAGAAACAGATAAATGTGTATATGGAAGTGCATAAGTTCTCACAGTTGGCCTCCTTTTACTTGGAAGGTTAAGATATCCAACAAACTGTGGCTCCAGCATCAGGTTTAAATTAATTCAAGTTTGGTAAACAGACTAAGATGGTGCTCTCATACTAGAGTTCATGAGATAATCAAAATTTTAGACTTTCAAAAAAATCCTTTAGCGAGTCTTACAAAACTCACTTTAGCTTGGTCTCCTTTGTAAATAAGGACTTATTTCTAAAGATCACTATTGAAGTCCCACCTAGTGTCACTTTCTTGAAAAACAAGGAAAATTAAATAATAATTATGAGAAATTTGATCTTAATTAACACTTAGAAACTTGATTTACAGTTTATTAGGTTAAATGTGTTTGGAATGCAATATATAAGTAAATAAACCAAAAGTAAATGTGGGCCATTTGGCTGAATTTCTCTACCTTTGTAAATAAAATGAAAGGCAGAGGTATTTTTACTTCATAAATTTTGCTTCAGACCAAATACCAAAAAATTAACTTTACAAGCAAATACTTCACATAGAAAATACTTTAACATGAATTTTTCACTCAACCAAACAACAAGCAAGTGACCATAATTGCAAGGTCTTCGAACTTAGCACTTTCTATACAGTTTCAGTACAAGGAAACAGCAGCAAGGGACCTAGTGACCTTAAAAACTAGCCCAATTACGGTCAAAATGACCTTAGCATCCAAACAGTTCTAAGACACCAAGAATGTCTGATTCTAAGCCAAAGCAAGCACGTACAAGCTCTTAAAAGAGAATTTGCACCAATAAGCCCCATCGTTTTCTTCTATTATTTCTCTTTCCTCCTTTCAAACTCCCTATTATGAGATGTTCCACACTATTGCCACCTTCGATTAGATTGCCCCCCAACCTCCGCTCGCCACAAGCAATTGTGTGGAAATAAGAAACAAATCCAAAACATCACTCATTGGATTTTAGATTTCAAATTTGCTAGCCCCAATTCATTAGCAATATGCCCAATACTTGTCAAAGAAATATTTTTTTATCAACATTGATTGACGCTTAGTCAATTGATCTATCATTCTCTTTCCATAAAGAAGAAAAGGTCCAATATAAATTCCATAAATGGCATAAAGTTATGGACCTTCAATTGCTTTTAGAAATTCAAACAAATTTTTTTTGAACCCCCAGCTAAACTAATGTTTACCAATCACCGCCCCTTGATCAAAAGAATTTCCTAAACTCCTAAGAATTTTACACTGCCTGATGTATACTAGCAATTAACATCTAGTATCTTTTAATGATTGGCTTACAATATCCACCATCCACCGACATCTAAAGTCAAACAACGAACACTGTCCACTAGCCATACATCCAATACTTGTCAAGAAAATATTTTTTGATTGACATTATTTGATGGTTAGTCAACTGATCTATCATCCTCTTTCGATAACAAAGAAAAGATCCAGCTTTCATGCATCAACACCTACAAATTTGTGTTCTGTTATCCACTATATAAAAACAACTTTTGCATATGATTTCTTTAGGTTTGAGAAAAGGTGTCCACCCTGTAACACATGAGTTTATAAGCAAAACCTTTTTGAGTAGGAAAAGCAATATAATTTTTCCCTTCAAAAGACTTCCATACAAAAAAAAATCAAGTGTTCCGTGTTCTTTCCTAGTAATGCATGCAACTAAAAAAGCTCATTAATCTTGAAGGTTATTTATAACATGAAACTCTCTTCACATATTGCTTTTGGTTCAATATGAGAGAAATTTTGGGGATTCCATTGAAGCTGCTAACGAGAAGAAATTACCAATAAATTTGGGCACTTGGGTGGCAGTAAGAAGCAGCCAACGTAGAAAAACATTGGAAGAATTTACATACATACCTCTCAATTCCTATGTATTTACATTGCTAACACCTAAAATTCAATTTTGGCATACATACCACCTTCAATTTTGACATACCTTCCCTATGCATGAAAAGGTGAATTTCACATTTCAAAGCTAAAATTGTGGCATTTTTTTAATGTGATATGAAAAATTTAGCTGTTAGATATGTAAATACATAGAAATTGGTTGGTCTGTAGTTAAATACATAACTTCCCAATCTCATCAAAACGTAGTCCTGTGTAAATGTTTCCTAAATACCAGAATTGCAGCCACATTTGTGTAAAAAAAAAAAGCTATCAGTGAACAGCACAGCAGAGGGAAGCGAACAAATTTACAAGACAATCGCCAAATACAACAAAACCTCCGGCTTTCTAAGAAAATTTATATAAAAACGTACGAGAGTTTGGCGAAACTCCTCCTGGAAAGCCTTGCGCTCGGCGGCCAGTGTCTCCGCAGCAGCAGATTTTGCAGCCTTACGCTTCTCATTGGCCAGGCGAATGGCCTCCCGCTTTGCCTCGTCCTTGCGCTGCTTCTCCGCCCTCAGAATCTCCATCTCGTGGGAGTACTCCTTCCGTAGCTGAGCCACCTGCTTCGCGTAGTCCTTGCGTAGGCGATCGAGCCTCGCTTCCGCCTCTCTGGGATCGGCCGGCGGCTTCCAGCTGCCCAGGAAGTCGCATGGCTTCAAGAACTCGTGCGGAGGTGGAGGAGGAGATCGTCGGGAAGGCGGCGCTGAGTATGACGATTCTGAAGCAAATCGGAGAGTTTGTGCTGCGAAGAGAGATCTAGGAAACGGTGAAAGATGGCCACGGACAAGGAGAGATCGACGAAAGGCACCGGTTATTGCCATGAAAGAATATCGCCTGGAACGAACGATCGCTTCAAAACCCTAACCCCTCTGAGCATTTCATCTGGGTTCGTTAAGGCGAAGGAATATTTACAAAGTACCGCGCCATTTTTTTATATTTACATATCTAATACTCAAATTTTAATTTTTAGAGGTATATTTTACTTTCTAAAATTTAAAATAGTGATAATTAAAAAATGATATGGAAATTTTGGATGATGTAAATGCAAAAAAAATTGAAATTTAAGCGTTGGATAATAAATACACGACGATTACATGCCCCAATGAAATTGCATGGGATTTTTGGATTCACTCCTTAATGATTATATTTTTTATGGTGTTATGTTAAAATCTCATGAAAAACTATATTGTGGGCCATAATAAAACTCATTCCCAGTTACATCCTCTTAAACCCATGACGAATGTATATATGGGAAGCAAAGTACACCATAATTGAGATAGGGCATTCCCAAGAGAAATATTTGCGTACATCTAACGTACGCAGAGTTGCGTACGCCACTAGGTTATAGGGAGGATATCGAAAGGTTATATCTGCGTTAACCACTCTGTAACCTACCTGTAACTTACAAATATATGAAAATAGAAGCACAAAACTTATTAGTTACAGGTAGGTTACATAGGATATAACGCAGATACAATCCCTCAATACCCTCCCTGTAACCTACCGACGTACGTAGCTCTACGTACGTTAGACGTACGCAAGTACACAAATATTTCTCCATTCCCAGACATTTATAAACACTTTCGTTCGGCTCAAAATAATAATTTATTAAAAATTAATAATTCAAATAATATAATTAAAATTAAAAATATAATTTTTTTAATACTCTTTTAAGAGAGAACTCATTCAGCA